ACCATAGAGATTTCACACCATAAATTGCAATTGTTTTCGTAAGATAAAAGAAAAAATATTTGCAGAGTGCGACTGAGCTGATTTCCCTAAAGATATTTTTGGATATATTTCAAATGATTTCATTCAAGATATTTTATTGAGGTTAAACAAAAGATTAGGAGAAGATATCATTTTGGTTGGTATAGTAATAATTAAAAAATACAGGTATATACATATTTTATCACAATTCGATTTTGACGCAATTCACATGCTCATCATATAAATATTAGCCTTCTGGTAGCATAAGTTGTGAGTTCAAGTCCTGGGTCAGACAAAGAATGTTTATTGTATTTTAATATTTTAAACATATAGTATAGTAGGAACAAGGGGTTCCCATGCACCCATAAGGTGTGAATAAGTTACATACATTTTTGTAATTCCTAGGGTGTCTATTTAATGAATTCATTTGTTAACATTGCCAACTAATGTCCCATAGTACTTTTATGGTGGCATTCAGTTACCATGGTTACGCATCTTTAGACATCTTACCCTTGGTATCTTAAATCATTTGTAGCTCTGTCATTATTTGGTCTATAGAAATGATATTGGTACCAAATTAAGCCTCGTTAAATTTCCAATAAATTTATGATATTCAATTATGCAAATTATCTAATTTGCATAAATTATGACGTCATCAATCTATTTTTGGTTCAGAATTTCCAACTATAGCAACAAATCTATTAGAACTGAGGCCGTATGGCAAAATTTCTGAAAGGTTTTGTCCTTTATTCTATTAGTAGAAGGTATAAGCAACATAAAAGTGAAAACAGATTCAAAATTGAATCAGTATTACGAAAGTTATGTAACTTTCGAGGCAGCTATCATGAATGTCATTATTTGACAATAATATACATTACGTCTTACCTTGGAGTCTTGAATCAATGTAGCTTCGCCATTATTTGGTCTATAGAGATGATATTGGTATCTGATTAAACCTTACTAAATTTACTATATGGTTACAATATTAAGTTATGGAAATTAGCTAATTTGCATTAATTGTGACGTCGTCAATCCATTTTTGGTTCAGAATATCCTAGTATAGCAACATATCTATTAGAACTGAGGCCGTATGACAGAATGTGTGCATAGTTTTGTCCCTTATTTGATGAGTGGAAGATATAAGCATTAAAGAGACAACAAATCTTCAAAATTGGATCAGAATTAACAAAATTATCCAGCTTTGGAGGCAGCTACTGTGAACGTCATTGTTTGACAATTATAAAAAGAATATTAAATTAACAAAAAAAAGTAACAACCATAGTTGTTTTAATCTTATTGAGTAAAAATGTGCATGTATAGAACTGAACTAATAAGTATGTGGAAAGGTTACATGCATTTTGACTATCATTCACAGGGGTCAAAACGGTTATCTCGACCCTGTAAAAGATCCAATCTTATAATTTACCATGCACTTTCAATGATTCATATAAATAGTATACATATAGTCTGATTTTCATCATATTCTTCATATTCTTGATTCTTAAAGCATCTGAAGTATATAGCATGATTAGAAGTGAAGATGATTCATCATATGGTTTATGTTATATTTCTAACATTTCAGATGCTATGGTAACATCACTTGATAATGAGGTTTTTACATTTCACGTTCTTAATGAGTTAAAAGGAAGTCATTCTCCCTTTGCTTTAGAGATAAATAGTCGCATGAATTTGTTTAGAAAAATTATAACTTATTAATTTAACCCCCCCCCCTGACAGCCCCTATATTTGAAGATTTTGGTGAAACCTGGCAAAATACATTAATTATTAGGTTCCAGAAGCCCCCAGAAGCTATATGATGGCCCCCAGTGGCCCCAAGAATCTATACAGGGGCCCCAAATGGCCCCCAGAAGCTATACTGTGCTCCCCAGAAGCTATATGTTGGCCCCCAGAAGCTGAATAGTGGCCCCCAGGAGCTATACGGTGGGTCCCAGAAGCTATACAGGAAACCCTGTGGCCCCCAGGAGCTATACGGTGGCGCCCAGAAGCTATACAGGGGCCCCCAGTGGCCCCAAAAAGCTATACGGTGGCCCCCACAAGCTATACGGAGGCCCCCAGAATCTATACTATGGCCCCCAGAAGCTATATAAGGGCCCCCAGAAACTATACTATGGTCTCCAGAAGCTATATGGTGGCCCCCAGTGGCCCTCGGATGCTATATGATGGCCTCCAGAAGCTAATTAGTGGCCCCCAGGAGCTATATGGTGGCTCCCAGAAGCTATACAGGGGACCCCAGTGGCCCCAAGAAGCTAAACGATGGCCCCCAGAAGCTATACAGGAGCCCCAAAAAGCTACATGATGGCCCACAGAATCTATATGATGGCTCCCAATGGCTCCCAGAAGATGTGAAGGGCCCCCAGTAGCCCCTAGAAGCTATACGGTGGCCCCCAGTGGCCCTCATAGGCTATATGATGGCCCCCAGAAGCTAAATAGTGACCCTCAGGAGCTATATGGTGGTTCCCAGAAGCTACAAAATGGCCCCCAGAATCTATATGGTGGCCCCCAATGGCTCCCAGAAGCTATAAAGGGCCCCCAGTAGCCCCTAGAAGCTATACGGTGGCCCCCAGTGGCCCCGAAAGCTATATAGTGGCCCCCAGGAGCTATACAGGGGCCCACAGTGGCTCCCAGAAGCTATACGATGGCACCCAGAAGCTATGCAAGGGCCTGCAGAAACTGTACTGTAGCCCCCAGAAGCTATACAGGGGCCCCCAGTGGCTCCCAGAAGCTATACGATGGCCCCCAGAAGCTATGCAAGGGCCCGCAGAAACTATACGGTAGCCCCCATAAGCTATATGATGGCCTCCAGAAGCTATACAGTGTCCCCCAATGGGCCACTATATAGCTTTGGGGGCCACCGTATAGCTTCTAGGGGCTACTGGGGGCCCTGTATAGCTTCTGGGAGCCATTGGGTGCCATCATATAGATTCTTGGGGCCATCATGTAGCTTCTGGGGGCTGCTGTATAGCTTCTGGGGGCCATCATATAGCTTCTTGGGGCCACTGGGGTTCCCTGTATAGCTTCTGGGTGCCACCGTATAGCTCCTGGGGGCCACTAATTAGCTTCTGGGGGCCATCATATAGCTTCTGAGGGCCACTGGGGGCCACCATATAGCTTCTGGAGACCACAGTATAGTTTCTGGGGGCCCTTGTATAGCTTCTTGGGGCCATCGTATACCTTCTGGGGGCCACTTGGGGCCCCTGTATAGATTCTTGGGGCCACTGGGGGCCATCATAAAGCTTCTGGGGGCTTCTGGAACATAATAATTAATGTATTTTGCCAGGTTTCACCCAAATCTTCAAATATGGGGGCTGTCAGGAGGGGGTTAAATTAAGTTATAATTTTTTTAAACAAATTCATGTGACTATTTTTCTCTAAAGCAAAGGGAGAATAACTTTCTTTTAACTCATTAAGAACGTGAAATGTAAAAACCTCATTATCAAGTGATGTTACCATAGCATCTGAAATGTTAGAAATATTACATAAACCATATGATGGATCATCTTCACTTCTAATCATGCTTTATACTTCAGATGCTTTAAGAATCAAGAATATGAAGAATATGATGAAAATCAGACTATATGTATACTATTTATATGAATCATTGAAAGTGCATGGTAAATTATAAAATTGGATCTTTAATATACAGGGTCGAGATAACCGTTTTGACCCCTGTGAATGATAGTCAAAATACATGTAACCTTTCCACATACTTATTAGTTCAGTTCAATACATGCACATTTTTACTCAATAAAATTGAAACAACTATGGTTGTTACTTTTTTTGTTAATTTAATATTATTTTTATAATTGTCAAACAATGACGTTCACAGTAGCTGCCTCCAAAGCTGGATAATTTTGTTAATTCTGATCCAATTTTGAAGATTTGTCGTCTCTTTAATGCTTATATCTTCCACTCATCAAATAAGGGACAAAACTATGCACACATTCTGTCATAAGGCCTCAGTTCTAATAGATATGTTGCTATACTAGGATATTCTGAACCAAAAATGGATTGATGACGTCACAATTAATGCAAATTAGCTAATTTCCATAACTGAATATCGTAACCATATAGTAAATTTAATAAGGTTTAATCAGATACCAATATCATCTCTATATACCAAATAATGGCGAAGCTACATTGATTCAAGATTCCAAGGTAAGACGTAATGTATGTTATTGTCAAATAATGACATTCACGATAGCTGCCTCGAAAGTTACATAACTTTCGTAATACTGATTCAATTTTGAATCTGTTTTCACTTTTATGTTGCTTATACCTTCTACTAATAGAATAAAGGACAAAACCTTTCAGAAATTTTGCCATACAGCCTCAGTTCTAATAGATACGGTGCTATAGTTGGAAATTCTGAACCAAAAATAGATTGATGACGTTATAATTTATGCAAATTAGAAAATTTGCATAATTGAATATCAGAAATTTATTGGAAATTTAACGAGGTTCAATTTGGTACCAATATCATTTCTATAGACCAAATAATGACAGAGCTACAAATGATTTAAGATACCAAGGTAAGATGTCTAAAGATGCGTAACCATGGTAACTGAATGCCGCCATAAAAGTACTATGGGACATTAGTTGGCAATGTTAACAAATGAATTCATTAAATAGACACCCTAGGGATTACAAAAATGTATGTAACTTATTCACACCTTATGGGTGCATGGGAACCCCTTGTTCCTACTATACTAATAAGGGTACTTGACTCAGAGTTGTTCATGACGACTTAAACTGTTATGTGGTTAATGTTTGTCTGTATATTGGTGCACTAAAACACAAAACCACTTTAATCCCTCCATTGATAATCCCTTGGGAGGAATTAGTATCCAGAATAAAACAGGGGAAGGGGTAACTTACTCCCTATGGATTATCCATGAAATATTATCATGCCAAGAGATATTATTATCATTATCTATAAGTTTGCATATTTTATATTATTTCAGAAAAGATGATCAGATCTGTATATTGGACTCTTTGGAAGAGCAAGATGTTACAGAACCCTGCTTCCCCACCAGGAATTCTAACATTACACATCACCCACCTTCAAAAACTAACCGTCCTCGAGCATCCACCAGTTTTAATACATCGCCTAAAAACAAGGCCAAAACAAGTAAAGATTCCTTAGAAGAGACTGAAATCTTAGACTTTACAATCCTTCAGGATGACACCAATCCACTCATTAAGGAGCCCACCAGTGATATAAGTGATGTTAAAACTACAGATGGGCCTACTGGCTCTGACGTAAGTCAACCAAATGGTGCTAATGTGACAGATCCAACTCATGTTGAAGCAGATGTGAAGCTCATGAGTAAAATGGAAGGGGGAGAAACAAATGACACAACACCCGGTCAAGCTGAAGGTGCCGCAGGCGGTGATCCACACGCTATACCAGGTATATTTTAATTAAATGAATTCAGTTCTAAATCTCAACTTATTAGGATATAAAATGAAATGATGGTGACTTTACATACGTGTCTGACCCTATCCTAAAAATGAGTTATTTAATTGAATTGAAATGTCATCTGCTATTCAGTTTTAAAATTTAAACATTTTATGAGAAGGGGAATATAATCTGCAGGAGTAACTCAGAAAACATTTTCTACAGAATCTAAATCTTTCAGACCAGCAGCTTTCAGCTCAATATGGAGCCCATCATCTTAAATGGTTTAAATTTCCGTATGGGTCTCATCACCATAGACTGTGAAGAAATACCACAGTTGAAAAAATACCTTTTACCTGGTTGAAAATCAATTGTTCCCAGTTTGAAAAAAATTAGGAAATAAAGGTAAATTTTGCAATAGTTTAGAAAATGCTGGGGAGATATCTTGAGATAATTTAGCTCAAGTGGTTATCCTGAAGTCACACTATTTATACCATACAACTGTGATATTACATATTCCATGCACATAACAGAGATAATTTGTTTTCAGAGCAACTCCATGCTCATTAGTACTCAGATAGCTTCCAATCAACACATTAGACATATAGTATCTGGCTTCATAATGAATGTTTTTAATGAGTCCATGAACCCGCATCATTTGGGGAAGAATCTCAAGGCAATCTTAAATTCCAATCATATAATTGCATTACTCGCTGACCATAAGATGATATTATGCTTTTAGTCTTGGTATCATCATAATGACCTCAAATGAAGATTTAATCATTCAGGAATTATATTCATTCGGAAATAAATATTGTACCCATTTTGGCAATATATAGTTCTATTTTAACTGAATATATGTATTTTGAAATGCAAACACTTTTTTGCAGTTCGTTTTTCATGTCACCTTGACAACCATTTAATCAAATCCTATTAAAGGGACATGTTTTCATGACAGATGGGGTCGTGTATAATTTGATGACATTCACAAGATTATTTATATGGGTGTTGCACCATGGTGCCATTACTAGTGTGCGGGACTCTCAGTCAATTCACCGGCATATTCTGTGGCAACTACATTTGAATTCTTTACTATTTCATGTTGAGCATACATGGAAACAAAACACAGATGTAGAAGCTATCGCAATTATATACTCGGTTATTTATACCCTATCTGCGACCACTTCTATTAATCAATTTTAAATTCAGTTCTTTTGTGATGAGTCTTTTAATATGAACACTTGTATCCAATTTTAATCGTGTTAAAGGTTTCACAGTATGCTTAATCATTGAGCATTGTTTACCTCGAGTTATGTTATCATCTAGAGGAAAACATTTCCTTAAGTACTATTCAAGGAAGCACTCTATATTTGATGAATATTGACCAGTGAAAACAGTGGTGTTATCCATGAATTGAGAGCAATCGATCATTTAATTTGGGCATATTCGCCACACTTATCGCCCCGTGAGGGATTAATATTCAGTGACGGCACCTGTTTCTGACTTCATCTCAATGTTGTGCCTAGCATTAAAGTATTTGGGAATTTCCATCATTGATTTTTTTTTTATTGTGAGGTTCATATTTGATACTGAGGTAAATGGGAATCAGAACATAGATTCCAAAAGTCAATAAGTAATTAGGAAAGCTCATTGAAGTATTCATCTCAGATTTTCTCTGAATCTATACATATTTATTGTTTTCCTCAGTTTCTCTCAGAGATATACATGGATACATGTATCATTATTTATCTAATCTTTATAGATTAGTTGAAAGAATAATAGCCTCTAAATTCAAAAGAATCCTTTTATAGGTCATATAATTCATTATTTGATATAACCTTATTTTTAAATATTTGTGGGATAGATATGAGAATTCTTATTCATCCAAATAGTTAACTTATTTTATTGCCTGGTAGAATCAAAATGAGCTTTTTTATGTCACGATGTGTGGATGGTGTTCAGCATCTGGCATTTGGTGCTTGGCATTCAGTGTTCAGCTTTCGGAGTTTGTCATCTGTAACAAATAGCAGGTAGTGATATTTTGCATATTAATGAAGGGTTCACAAGTTACTAACATTTTGGTTTAAAATCTTTAACATGGGTACTTACTAGACCTAAACATACCATGAGCATTTTAGGATCTGTGATGATCTATAATTGACTAATGTAATCATGTTATGATACAAGATGTCAATAAAAGTTATATAATCATACAGCACTACAAATGAATATGTGATTTCTCATGAAAAAAGTCGATTCTAGTAATTCCTTTATTCATTTACAAGCTCTGCTTAAACTCACTATTTTTGTAACTTATTTCTTGCTCACAGCTATACTATTTCTGATTTTTACAGGTTTTCTGCAATGCATGTTAATTTCAAACATAGATTTATTCCACATTATTCAATGATAAATTCCCCTTTCAAGAATAAAGCAAGAAATACATTTTTTTATTTACGGTCGACCTTTTCAAGAATTACTTAAGCCAAGAAGTGTGAAAAAACACATTGATTCAATTTTACGCAAAAATAGGCAATAAAATGGCACAATTGTTTTTATTGTTTTTAATCAAATGGATATGTTCAAGAATGTATCCAGTCATAATAAGTTTAGGGACCATTTCAAATATTCATCATAGAATCTATTTGATGCATGGAGAAACAAATATCTTCTTCCATTTACGCCTTAGTTTAGTTCTTTAATTGAATTACAAAAACTAGATGAGTCTTATTAGGCATGTAAAGTGGGAAAAGTGTTGACAATGACTCAAACATTAACAAATAAACAAAACAATATATTTTCAACATGTATTTTATAAAGTTTATATGCGAATGTCATAAGGTCATCATTTCTAAAGTCAATCAAAAAAGGTCAGACTTATCATTATGTAGGTCAAGTGTCAAAATGTTGAGGTCTTATGAAAGCAATTTGTAATAATTATCCACAAACAACATATTTCCCTCTTTCCAATTAGTAATTTGTATAATGAATTATTTTTGGGTTTAATGAAGTCATTCATTTCTCTAGTAAAGTGTTCCATATCTCATAATGACATTTAAATGTCATATGGCACTAAGTAATTGTTCTAAAACAACACAACAGGTTTTCACGTGTGACACACATGCTACCCTGGAATTAATAATGCCCTCTTATAGATAATAAAATATATGTACAACAGAATTTGTAATATAATCTCTAAGTATAAATACAGGGTGGGCCAAAAATGTTACTCTGATTGTTCTAGAACAATTTTTGGCATACCCTGTATATGAATGTGAGACATTATATCATGACTTAAAGGAGAATCCCTTTTTTACTAGCTACTGCCATATAGGTACCCTTTATTTCCATAAGTTAGCTACACCATACTCTGACTATTACAGAAGATTCTACACTGTTTTGATGCTGGTATGATCTCATATGTAACTTTGATGGACTTTCATGGGAGTTTGAATGTGAACTGAACTCATTGTATAAATAAATAAATAAATGAATAAATGAAAAATAAAAAACTGAATTGAAAATTAGAGGCATCATAACATAAGTTTTTTTGCACTTTATTTAGAATAAAACTTGTTGAGGTTTGATGGACTTTTGACTTTGTTTTGAATATGCTGAAAGAAACTAATCAGGGATGTGTATGTATCTGATCAATAGGCATGCTAGTGGTACCTGATATTGGCCCTTGAGACCCAAATATGGTGGCACGTTCAAGGAGCATTGATTATCTCATCAATATTAATAAAGGAAATGTTGTATTAGGGCAAGGTTAACATAAAATTAGAGAATATTTTCTGAAATTATATTTTTTTGAAATGCAATGTGAATGGGTTCATCGAACTTGAAAGTTGAATTTATGGGAAAATATAATTCATTTATTATGTAACCTTCAAAGATTTTTTGTTTCAGGTCACAATTTTTAAATCTGATTTTGTGAAAACTGGAATTTGACGTGTAGTCAAAATAAAAGAGGAAAGACACCAGACTAAAGAAACCTAAACTAATGTTTCGAAACAAGTTATTCAAATTACAAAATCAATTTCACATTATTTTCCCCCAGGATTTTTCTGATATTGGCCTTCAAGGATGATCTAACTGATGCATCAATATAAATATAAAACATTGTTTGGAATGGCTTTATTTACTACAAGATCAATTTGTATAATAAAGCACCAATTTCCTCCTTGAGAGATGTGTTTATAGATTGTCATGCATCATCTGTCGATGAGTAGTTCAACATTAGCCACCACCCCCCCCTGGAAGTCAGGCTGAATTTTCTATTTGAATCTGTTCTTAACCACTGCATTAATCAATCTCCAAAATAATCTTGTAAAAAATGTATATCTATAGGTTCCATGCTAATGTTGTGATAAAATTTGTCTAAAAGCTTTTACTGATACGGTTTGATCCCACTGAGTATGATCCAAGGAAAGTTTTTACCCAGATGTCCCTTTGAAATTATTATATCAGAATACATTAAATTTAGGCTGGGGAGGAGAGTGCCCGGGAGCCCCCATTTATGGTAATATTTTATCATTTTACCTTGCCTTCAGAAACAGGCCTCAAATTTTGAAAAATGATCATTTTGAAAAAAGGGTATGTGTCTGTTTCTGTCATGAGTGCAATTTTCGAAGATACCTGGGAAAATTCTCCTTTCTTAGGAAACATTAAGAAATCATTGTTCAGATTTTCTTTAGAATGTTACATCATATGGTCCTAATGGGGCTTATCCATACAGCCCATATGCTACATTTATATGGCTGATAAGAGCCAGATAGAGACAATAGCTCTGCCCATATTTTTCTTCTGAAAATCCCAGATCTAAAAATCTTCTCTCAAGAAAAGCTCAAAACACCAAACACTGATTTTTTGTCATCTCACCCAAGGCAAAAAGATGAACAGTCCATGTGTACACAAAATGTTTATTTTGCAGTAGGTTACTTTGCTGTTACGTTTCTAGATCATAATATCAAGTTATTTTATACAGGTACCACTGGAAAAATCCAGGGATT